TAGCATCTTAGCTGTAGAGGGCAGTGTCACTGGCCCTCATATGTGGGATCCGAACCGGGGCCCTCTGGCGTCCCAAGCCAGTTCTTAACCATAGCGCCACTCGGCCGGCCCTCACTGTGGTTTTGAGTTGCATTTTCCTAATGACGTTGAACATCTTTCATGTGCTTGTTAGCCATTTGTGTATGATCTTTGGAGAAAAAACTATTGAAATCTTGTACCTGTTTTTAAATTGGGTTGTTGTCTTTTTGTTGTTGAGTTGTATGAGTTCTCTCTATATTCTGGATACTAGACCCTTATCAGATATAGTAGCTCCCCACCCTACTCATTACCTGCAGAGGTTACTATGGTACCCCCAAAGGATGCCTTAAACCATGGATAGTACCAAACCCTACATATACTATGTTTTTTCCTGTACATACATACTTATAATAAAGTGTAACTTATAAATTAAGCTCAGTAAGAAATTAACAGTAATAATAACATAGAACAATTATTATAACAATATACTGTAATAAAAGTTACATGAATGTAGTGTCTCTCAAAATATCTTACCATACAGTGCGAACAGTGTGGATATGCTGGACAAAGAGATGATGACTGTCCCAGGCAGGATGGCTTGAGATTTCATCATACTACTCAGTTTAAAACTTATGAATTGTTTATTTATAGAATTTTCTGTTTAATATTTTCGGACCACAGTTGACTAGAGGTCACTGAAACCACAGAAAGGGAAACCATGTGTAGGGGGGGACTACCATATATGATTTATTTTTCCCTATTCTGGCGGTTGTCTTTTTCTTAATAGTGTCAGAGTTTCTAAATTTGAAGTCCAATTTATCTATTTTTTTTTCCTTTGGTGCTTATGCTTTTGGTGTCATAGCTAAGAAACATTGCTTAATCCAAGGTCATAAAGATTTACACCTATGTTTTCTCCTAAGAATTTCATAGTTATCACTCTTATATTTAGGTCTTTGATACATTTTGAGTTAATTTTTGTATATGGTTTAAAAAAACTTTATTTTTGTAGAACAGCTTTAGATTTACAGAAAAATTGGGAACATAGTAGAGAGTTCCTATATATCCCTTACCCAGTATCCCTACTACTAATGTTTTGGTGTGGTACATTTGTTACAATTAACAAATACATTGTTATTAACTAAAGTCCCCACTTTGTTCACATTTCCTTATTTTTAAACTAACCCCCATTTTTTCTTCCAGGATTCTATCCAGGATACCATATTACTTTTTTTTTTTTTAAGATTTTTTTTATTGGGGAATTGAGAGATGGGAACAGCGCTGGAAATTGGGGGAAGGGGAACACACAAGTTGCTGTCGTTTTGTTCTTCAGTCTAGTTGTGGAGGACGTTGCTTCACTGCCCCAAGTTGGCACCATCATTGCGCTCTTCCCAGGCGAGGCAGATCAGTCGCCGACTTCTGGACGGCCGCTCACTGTGGCTGCTGGCCGCTCACGCTGGCTGCTGGCGACACACGGTAGCCCATGGCAACCCACTGCAGCAGGGGCTGCAGCTTACACCGTCGCCGGCGACTCACGGCAGCTCAGCTCCAGGTCGAGCTCTTGTTCAGCATCTTAGCTGCAGAGGGCAGTGTCACTGGCCCTCATATGTGGGATCCGAACCGGGGCCCTCTGACGTCCCAAGCTAGTTCTTAACCATCGCGCCACTTGTCCGGCCCACCATATTACATTCAGTTGTCATCTCTCCTTCATCTCCTCATTGCCCTGTTTGTAAGGCTTTTGTTACCTTTTTAAAAATATTTTTGTGATCACCACAAATACAGCATTTACTCCTATATGTTTTGTTGCTGTGTTAAAATGTTAATCTTTCCCAGTTGACTTCTAAATGAATAGATAAAATTAGAGTTTCAGCAGAAAGCTGAAAAGGAGAAAAAAAGGTAAAGAGAGAACACCTATTACTTGGGCTCTCTATTGTCTTTTAGGGTTAAAAGTTTCAAACAAACCTTCATTGTTTAGAAACTTGTGATTGAGAATATACATATTTAAGTATGAAATATATTGTCCTTGGCTTAATAGTATGCTTCGGTTCTTAGTTTAACATTTGGATTTGAGGATGGTGGAGTAAGGGAATATGTAATAATCTTTGGGTTGTATCTAATAGCAGAAATTGCTTTGCAGTCTTTTTTTCCGTAGTGTATGTATAAGTATTTCCTATATTGCAAGGTCTTCCCTGTTTCTACTGGAAAATGTTTTAAGCCCTCCTGTCCTTAGGGTTTCTCTATTGTAATATCTGCTATCATAACTACTGTTGGTCCATCTTCGTCACGCCTGCTTGTCCCACCACCAAATTTGTGTCACCCTTGCACCTCTGACACTATGTTTGTCCTGAAAATTTCACTGGACTCTCGTCTTTCATTTCAGACTTCTAAATTTTTCTAGGTATTTCTGTCCAAAAAATGACATAATTATAAATAAATCCTAAATAAATGCAAATGCCTGACAGTCAGGATTTAAAACTAAAATGTCATTCAGTCCTAGTGCATTTTGCGATCATGGAGAAAACATTTAGATGCTTCACGTGTCTGAAGACACAGTGAATTCATGGCATGCTTATGTGCAGTGTTTCCTCTAGGCTGAGAGAGTACATCTGTGCCTCCATATTTACCCCAAAATTTGGGAAGCAGTGGTCAAAAAAGCAGCAAGCATTCTGTTGTGAGGCATGTGATTGGGGGGTATTGCAGAAGTCACAGCACAGTGGTATATGCTTTTTTGTAAGGCAGTTGCAGCATTTTACTGGTACTAAAAGTTTGGGAATTGCTTTTTTTCCTTTATTATGAAAGTATTTAGATGTGTATAAAAGGGAGGCGATGGTATTTGTGTAAATGCACGTATTTGAACAGGTGTGTGTGTGTGTGTGTGTGCGCGCGCACGCATGCGCGTGCGCATACATAAATGTACATATTTCCTAGTTATGCTGATAGGGCCTAGAAGCAAATGAGGATACCCAGTTTCCAGATCTTGGTTTCATATATCATTCCACTTAAAGGAACTGAGATTTCTCATAAAAATGGTCGATTCAAGGGCTAGGACAGGATGGGTACAAAATAAAACAGAAAGTAAAAAATGATGAGGCAAGTCAAAAGGATACAGGAGCCAGCTCGAAGTCTAAGGCTCCCAATATGAGCACCAAAATAATTAAGGACATAATAAATTATAGACCATTGGAAAAACTAGGAATCTGTGAGCCTTTGCCAATAATGAATAGGTAAATAAATGGGGGAGAATGGAGGGCTTGTATTTAGAGTGGAATGCCAAGTGCTGACTGGTAAATGTGGAGAGAGGCCTAGAGTTGGAAAATCAAGATTGGTTTGGGCAAGAGTCATCAATAGATGCTAAATTTAGGGGGAAATTTTGATGAAGACCGGGACATTGGATGATTTTAAAGCATCTCCCTACAGATTGCATACTAATTACAAGAGAGAAAGTAGTAGCTGAACAGTAGAGAAACTGGGGATCACCTTAACCAAGTGGTCAAAATTAACATCACTAGTAAGGGGCAGATGGCCATCATGGGCGTCCAGAGATGATGATGCTTTGAGACAGACACAGCATCTCTTAGGTCAGTATTCTGCTTCAGAGTTGCTTAGTCCAATCTAATCATGAGAAAACATTAGACAAACCCATAATGATCAAAGTTCTCTTTAAAAATAAAAAAGGCTGTAGTGTTTAGAAATGTCAGTCATAAAGACAAAAGAAGCTATAGAAATGTTCCTGATTAGAGTCCAAAGAGACACGACAACTATTACTATCTGATTCTAGACTGGATTTTGTGTTGGAGGCTAAAAAAAATATATAGAGGATATTATTGGGTCAACTGACAAAGTTGGAATCTGGAGGGGTAGATTAAAGTATTATTGATACTTGGTTATATAAAACTGACAGTTCTCAACCAGGTCCTGCAGAAGTAAGCCCTTATGCCCTAAGGCATCCATTATATGTAATGGATTTGCTGCTCTCCTGTGCATCTAAAATTATACTGGCCAATTGTAATCCTTGGGAGAATGGAAAAATAGTCACTCAAATCATTTTCTATAGGGCTTTATTCTCTCACAAGACTAGATAAGAGGCTGTGAAAGAATATCCTCATTTTTAGAAAATAGGCACTGAAGTATTTAGGGGTGAGGGACCATGACTTATACAGTCTTCTCTTAAATGGTTCAAAAGAAAGTTACATATAGCGAGTTCAAATGCTACAGCAAATAGGGGAAAATGTTAACAGGCAAATCAGATAAATGGTATGTGGGTCCTTTTTTTTCTTGCAACTTAATATTAAAACAACTATCTCCTTGTAAATTGGCATCTAATATCATTTAAGAGTAACATTAGCTGGAGGTTTTATGTAAGCCTCAAGCTTCCATGCCTTAATAAGCACTCAGTGTTGTGGAATATATTATTGGACAGCAATTTATGAGAGAATGTCTTAGCAAGAAGCTGATCACTGTTATTTGCCTGTTCTGTTTGAGTGTCTTGTAAGAACCTTGAACTGACTAGTCCATTTTTGAATAAGCCAAAGTATAAATAAGAAATGTGTGAAATGCTTAAGGTAGACAATTACTAAAAACAGAAATAAGTTGAAAGTGTGTGAAATACTCTTCAGAATCACATTTGATTTCTCTTTCTAGGAGGAGCTTTTGGATATAAAAGAACGCCCTCATTCCAAACAAAGGCCTTCATGCCTCTCTGAAAAATACGACAGGTATGGTGGTTGCTTCTATTCAGCTTTTTATTACATCAAACATGATAAATTAGGAATTGTATTGTTTTGGAGCTTTTTGGTACAATTATGAGTGGGGAGACTTCAGGGGTATTGACATTGGGCTTCAGCATAAATATATGAACATGGCTAGCATCTCACTGCATTATCCTTATCAGTTTTGTTATTAATTAGCTTTACATCGATTAAAAGATTTGAACTACAAGGGACTCTAAGGACAACTAAACCAGTTCTCTTTCAACTAACTAGTGAAGAAACTCAAACTAGAAAATGACTTGGGTAAAGGCACATAGTAAGCAGAATTAAGACTTGAACACAGGAGTCCTCACCAGGGTCTTTTCTCTCCCCAGTGTTTTTTGCACTGCTTTCAGGGTCCTTTCTCAAGGGTCTGCCCGGGTAGGGTGATCAGGAAGTCTCAGCCGTTAATCTGTGCTCCGCCCCCCCCCCCCCCCGCCCAACTCCCCCAAACTAAAGACTCATGGGCTCCTTCATAAGAGGTGGAAGGCTTTGGTTTGAGAATACTATAGCTAAAAATGGTCTGTAAATCTCTTACAATAACTCTACATTGCATTTCTTACTGTTACCTTAAGACTTTAAGGTCACTTTTTAATTACCAAGGTAGAAGGTTCATATTGGCCCACATTTTTACCATACGAAGTATATATTGTGTTTAATGTGTTGGTAGAATAGGACATACTCGTTATTTTGTATATGGATGGTTGAGAAGGTTGCTAAATCTGGTCTCACCACTTTCCCCTGAAGGTGATACTTGAATAATGGCTATTCCAGTTGGTTAGTATTTTTTGGTAAGTCTCAGATAGCCTGAGGTTTGGTTTGGTTTGGTTTGGTTTTCCATTAAAGCTGTAAAGCTTTTTTATGCATCAAGTTGAATTTTTTTGTTACAACTCTTTCTTCTTGGGATAAAATAAAGTTATTGTGGGCACACACATTCATTTTTATTCTGAGGCGGACACATTGTGCCTAGTAATAGTAATAAAAATAGAGAGCAGAGGAAAGAGCTTCTCATTCTGCTGTTGCTCTTCTCTCAGAGTATTAAAATTTGTTGGGTTCTTAATCTCCAAGCAGTTCCTACAACCACACTAGGTAATATCTCCTTTATTGTGAGGAGTTTGAGACTGAGAGGTTGACTCACTTAAGAAATGTTCAGTTGGGGGCCAGCCGAGTGGCGCATTGGTTAAGAGCTGGCTTGGGATGCCAGTTCTGTACAGCAGGACCCCGGTTCAGATCCCACATGAGGGCCAGTGACACTGCCCTCTACAGCTAAGATGGTGAAAAACAGCTCAACCTGGAGCTGGGATGCCGTTGAGTCGCTGGTGACGGTGTAGGCTGCAACCCTGCTGCAGTGGGCTGCCATGAGCTACCATGTGTGGCCAGCAGCCTGCGTGAGTGGCCAGCAGCTGGTGTGAGCTGCCAAGAGCCGCCGTGAGCAGCCGTCCAGAGGCCGGCGACCAATCTGCCTCACCCGGGAAGAGCACAATGATAATACCAACATGGGCCAGTGAAGCGACATCCTCCACAGCTAGAGTGAAGAACCAAAGAACAGCAACTTGTCTGCTCCCCTTCCCCAATTCCCCAAAACTGTTTCCCTCTCCCAATTTCCCAATAAAATCTTTAAAAAAAAAAAAAAAAGAAATGTTCAGTTGGGGGCCGGCCGAGTGTTGCGCTGGTTAAGAGCTGGCTTGGGACGCTAGCTCTGAGCAGCAGGGCCCCGGTTCTGATCCCACATGAGGGCCAGTGACACTGCCCTCTACAGCTAAGATGGTGAACAACAGCTCAACCTGGAGCTGGGCTGCTGTGAGTCACTGGTGACAGCGTAGGCTGCAGTCCCCTGCTGCAGTGGGCTGCCATAAGCTACCGTGTGTAGCTGGCAGCCAGCATGAGCTGCCAAGAGCCACTGTGAGCAGCCGTCCAGAGGCCCGCGACCGATCTGCCTCAGCTGGGAGGAGCACAATGATAATACCAACATGGGCCAGTGAAGCGACGTCCTCCACAACTCGACTGAAGAACAAAAGGGCAGCAACTTATCTGTTCCCCTTCCCGGATTCCCCAACGCTGTTCCCTCTCCCATTTCCCCAATAAAATCTTTAAAAAAAAGAAAAAGAAATGTTCAGTTGGAGGGGTTAGCTCAGTTGGTTAGAGCGTGGTGCTGATAACCCCAAAGTTGACAGTTCAGTCCCCACATGGGCCACTGTGAGCTGTGCCCTCCTTAAAAGAGTCAACTATGCCACTGTAGCATGAAAGCAATGTATAATCATTGACCGTGGCTGTTCCCCAATAAAATAAAATAAAATAAAGTTCAGTTGTTACCTGCCACGTGGCAAATACTATGCCAGGTGCTGTCAAGTACTGCCTTCATGGAACATTGATCTGTGGAAGGATACAGTCAAATACTCATAAGAGTTTATGAAAAACAAGTGCAGAGTACAGTGCAGCCTGGTCTGATACAGGGTTGGGGAAGTCCTTCCTGCAGAAGACTAAAGGACATAGCTCAGTAACTTTTCAGGATGTTCCTGGTGGTGATGGCAGAGATACAGTTCAGTCCCACAAGCTCCAAAGGTGCTCTTCACACTGTACCATCTGCCCCCCATCATTAGAGAGGGAGAAACAAAACCCAAACTACACATTTTAAGTTCTTAAGAATTGTCTATCCTGCTTATAGGAAAAACTGAGACTGTGTAGAAATTCTAGAAAAATACACAGCAGGCATTCTAGGAGTTAACTTCTAGTGAGAGGATTAAGAGGTTTTTCTTCCCTTATACTAACCCTTAGTAAACACAGAGCAATCAGTGTTAGTGGAGCCATCGTCTTTGTGTAGTACAGGCATAGTTACTGTACTCCATACGCACCCCAAGGTTTGTGGTCTCAATGTTTCGTTTATACACAGACCACTGGTTTTCAAGTGACTACTGGTGTTATGTGAACAAGAACAAAGTATTAATTAATAGTTGCTTTTATTTTCATCTTAAAAGAGATAACCATTCTAATGGCAACCGTGAAGTTTTTTGTTTTGTTTTTTTTAAAGATTTTTATTGGGGAATTGGGGGATGGGAACAGCGCTAGGGAATTGGGGAAAGGGGAACAGACAAGTTGCTGTCGTTTTGTTCTTCAGTCTAGTTGTGGAGGACGTTGCTTCATTGGCCCAAGTTGGCACCATCATTGCGCTCTTCCCGGGCGAGGCAGATCAGTCGCCAGCTTCTGGATGGCCGCTCACGGCAGCTACTGGCCGCTCACGCTGGCTGCTGGCCACACACGGTAGCCCATGGCAACCCACTACAGCAGTGGCTGCAGCCTACGCCGTCACTGGCGACTCATGGCAGCCCAGCTCCAGGTTGAGCTGTTGTTCAGCATCTTAGCTGTAGAGGGCAGTGTCACTGGCCCTCATATGTGGGATCCGAACCAGGGCCCTCTGGCGTCCCAAGCCAGCTCTTAACCAACGCACTACTCGGCTGGCCCAACCGTGAAGTTTATATTGGAAAGGGGTTTCCATAATTTATTACTTGACGTTCAGAAATTAGACTACATATGTAGTTTATGGGTGCAAATGCTAACTGTTGGTACCCTTTGACTTGTAGTGATGGTGTCTGGGACCCCGAGAAGTGGCATGCCTCTCTTTACCCAGCTTCAGGGCGGAGCTCACCAGTGGAAAGTGTGAAGAAAGAGTTGGATACAGACCGGCCTTCCCTGGTGCGCAGGATAGTAGGTGAGCATGTGGTCACTCGGAAGTCGGGGTAGGAATTTTGCAGACAATGCTCTTTGCTGCGCCTTCATTTTTACCTGCTAGAGTTTTTCTTTTTTTTTTTTCTTTTTTAGCTGAGCCATCCTGCTACCTATTGGCAGCTCAGCAGCTGCTCAGCTCGGGCTGGACTCGAACCGCTGTTGCTCAGAGCTCAAAACTCTTGAGCGAGCTCTTAACCAACTGAGCCACTCGGCCGGCCCTTACCTGCTAGAGTTTTATGCATTGGGGCAAAGTGTCTTTTTCAGGAAACTGATTTACCAATTGGATTTTTCCAAATTAGCTGAATAAAATTATAGCCTTCCTGTATAGCAGAGGCAAGTAGACTGTATTAGGCTGTGAGCTTTTAAATTAAAAGTACTGATGACATGGATAACTGATTTAGATGTGGTAGAGAACATAAAAGCTGTTCTCAGAATGGCCGGCCCAGCTCTGGCAATTCTTAATGGATTGTGATCTGAATACAAGGTTTAGATATGGTTTGAGACTGGAGTCAAGTTTGATTTTCCATACCTTTACCCCTTTAAACTAGAAAAGATATTGAAGAGTGAAATGGGGACCTGGCAATATAAAAACTAGTCAAGGAACTTATTGCAAGAGGAATGCCTTTTAAGATAGGAAGACAATCCATCATAAATTCAGAACTGAGCAAAGAAGATTGTTTGAGCTATAAGATCCTTCTACACAGAATCTATTAGTACACTTAGCTCAGTAATGTATATTCTAACAATCATTAAAGATGCGCCAGGGCCGGCCGAGTGGCTCAGTTGGTTAAGAGCTCGCTTGGGAGCACCAGCTCTGAGCAGCAGGGCTGTGGTTCGGATCCCACATAAGAGGGCCAGTGACGCTCGCCCTCTACAGCTAAGATGATGAACAACAGCTCAACCTGGAGCTGGGCTACTGTGAGTCCCTGGCAATGGCGTAGCCTGTAACAGGGCTGCAGTGGGCTGCTGTGAGCTACGTGAGTGGCTGGCAGCCAGCGTAAGTGGCTGGTAGCTGGTGTGAGCTACCAGGAGCCATTGTGAGCGGCTGAACAATGACCAGCGACCGATCTGCCTCACCCGGGAAGAGCGCAATGATAATACCAACATGGGCTAGTGAAGCAACGTCCTCCACAACTAGACTGAAGAACAAAACAGCAATTTGTGTGTTCTCCTCCCCCCAATTCCCCAATTAAAAAAAAAAATCTCAAAAAAAAAAAAAAAGATGTGCCACAGACTTCATTAAAATGGTGAAAACTTAGAAGCAACCTAAATATCCAGCAGTAGAAATAGGTTGAGTATTATGTATCAGTACTACATTGTTCATCTATAAAAATATGTTGTAGATGTGTTTACCAAGTTATATATAACTGTTCATGTTATAGCTTGTTTGGAAAAAACTGAGACACTGCATGGAAATTCTGGAAAAGCACACATCGAAACATTTTAGGAACTGTTTCTGGTGAGAATATTAAAAGAGGTTTCTCTCCCTTGGACTTACCTTCAGTTTTCTGGTTTTCCTAGGAAAAATTTTTGTGTGGTGACATGTATTTTTCTTACACCTTCATTGAAATACCTTTTTTTTAAAAATTATTATTTTTTTTTTTTTTAGCTGAGCCATCCTGCCACCTGTTGGCAGCTCAGCGGCTGCTCAGCTTGGGCTGGGCATCGAACCACTGTTGCTCAGAGCTCAAACCCTTGAGCAAACTCTTAACCAATTGAGCCACTCAGCCGGCCCCTATTGAAATATCATTTACCTACACTAGACTGTACATTAAGTGTACCATATTATCGTTTTTCTTTGTTTTTTTTTTTAGCTGAGCCATCCTGCCACCTGTTGGCAGCTCAGCAGCAGCTCAGCTCAGGCTGGGACTTGAACCACTGTTGCTCAGAGCTCACACTCTTGAGTGAGCTCTTAACCAACTGAGCCACTCGGCTGGCCCTGTTTTGAAATACACCTACTATGGTTTATGTGATAAAACATTTGCTAATAATGACATAGGTAAGGACTTAGTCAAACTAAAGTGATTGAGGAGACTAACCATGGAAAATCATTATTATGAAATACATTTATTGCTCCAAAGAGAAAAACAGAAGACTCAGTCTTATTTAAATATGTAACGTACATGTTACTCTGTAGCTTTTAGTAGTGACTCTTTTCCAATACCCCTACCACCACCAGTGGTGGACATGCCACCTAGAGAGGAAAAATGCCCTTGCTGGTTTACTTATCTTTCTCTTTCTGACATCTTTGCAGATCCACGAGAGCGCGTGAAAGAAGATGACTTAGATGTTGTTCTCAGCCCACAGAGACGAAGCTTTGGAGGGGGCTGCCATGTGACAGCTGCTGTTAGCTCCCGGCGCTCAGGAAGCCCATTGGAGAAAGACAGTGATGGGCTGCGCTTGCTTGGTGGACGAAGGATTGGCAGTGGGAGGATAATCTCTGCTAGGACCTTTGAAAAAGATCACCGTCTTAACGATAAGGACCTGCGGGACTTGAGAGACAGAGACCGAGAGAGGGACTACAAGGACAAGCGTTTCAGGGTTTGTTTCTAAATCTTTTGGCACCTCGTGTACGTAGGGACTCAATATTCACTTGATTTATACTAGGTTACTTTGAGATCCTGGATGAACACAGCCCATTCATTCTTAAGCCACATAGGGAGCAATTGAGAGAGCTGGGTGGGGCCGGGAGCAGCTTCAGTTCTACAGCATAGTCTCTTCATTGCACTGTTGAGCATTACTTAATTCATCAGGGCCTTGATTGAGGTAAAAATGCCTTAAGTAGAATCTTATTTTTTATCTTGTATTATGTATTTTCCAGAGGGAGTTTGGGGATAGTAAGCGTGTCTTTGGTGAACGTAGAAGAAACGATTCCTATACAGAAGAAGAACCAGAATGGTTCTCAGCTGGACCCACAAGTCAGTCTGAAACCATTGAGCTGACTGGCTTTGATGATAAGATACTGGAAGAAGATCACAAAGGGAGAAAAAGAACAAGGCGACGGACAGCCTCTGTGAAGGAAGGTCAGTAAAACCTTTGGGATGGTATACTGTCTCCCCAACTTGTGTCTGCTGCTAAACAGAAACGTCTCACATTACCCTGTTAAGAGCACTGTGTACACGAGAGGGTTCCCCTGAGATAAGGAACATGGTAGAAATAATGAGGGGTCTCATTTATTGAGCACACTTTATGTGCTAGACACAGTGGTAAGCATTTTGTCTATATAATCCTTCTAACAACTCTGTGAACTAGGTACTTTTATGCCCATCTTAGAGATGAGCAGTTGGAGGCACAGGGGGCATAAGTGACTTGTCTGTGGATACTAGGGAAATAAGTGGTGAAGAGTCAAGATGCTTTTATGCTTCAGGTCCCACCTTCTTCACCAGGTGTTAGACCTTCCTAGGTGACTTGGCATCTCCCAAACTCAGTTTTCTGAGCTGTGAGATAAGGTTAGGTGTCTCCCTTGCTAAACTGAAGAAAACAGAGCTAAATGTATGAGAAGTGCCAGATGCAGAGTGGGGGCCTCATTAGTCGTTTTCAGGGCAGTAACCTGGCTGTGAGGTGGCTAGCCTTGGGCCGATGGTCTTGGGAAGAAACATTGAAGAGCCAGGTGGGCTAGTCTGGGTTTTGAGTTCTGAGGCTGCTGCTTAGAAAAAAGATAATCTTTGATAAAACTCTTAACAGGTGGGCCTGTTTCTTTGTAAGGTGAAGACAATACTTTATTATTTTGAGGGTTACTTTTAGTATCGAAGATCAGAGCTCAGCCTCTTGGGGACAGTTATTCAGTAAATTCTAGTTCCTTACAGCCTTCAAGTTTAGTTGGAAAAAATCTTTTGGCAGAGACTAGGCAACAAAAAGAGAAAGCTTTTAATACATGAGTGTTGAATCAATGCGACTTTAAAATTGTGAAGCTGAAATATATTTAAGCAGAAATAAGCTAATCGGATTTATTTAAGAGAAAGAAGGGAGAAATCAATTTACTTTCCTTTTTTGCACAATCTTTAAAATACAGAGACATTACCATTATCTTATGTTGTTAAACTTTCTTCCCTAAGGTGATGCAGGAAATTGATGGGTAACTTGGGAGACTTTGCTATTAAATTGCCTTTGAGATATGCCTTTGTCTCATTCTCGATTAGACTAAAGCAGCACCAGCAAATGTCTTTTTTCCTAATGATGCAGATCAGGCTTCTGGTGAGAAAAGCATATTTTTCTTCACTGAAATGAAATCTGAATTTTAACCATTCTTGTATCAACAAGTGGAGAGGCCAAGAGGAGTGAGATATATCAGTGGTGTCACCTCCTCACCTTACAGATGCAAAGAGAGACAGGCCTGGAAAGAGGTGACAACCTGAGACCCTGTCACACAGATTTCATGGCAGAGCCTCGGGTAGAATCCAGGGGTCTTGGTTCACTCACCCATCAGTTACTTGGAAAAGGTCCGTAGGCTGTCTTAGCAACTGTATTTAAGAAAAATAGGTACCCTGTAGTTTCATCTCGGCTGCAAGAATGAAAAAAGGGGGAGGGATGGTGAGTGCCTTTTAGTCCATTTTTGTGTCTGTTCCAGCTTCCCACTGAACTTATCATTCTGCAGTTCTTTGCAGGCACATGCTAGTCTGGGAGTATAGCACTGAGCAAGACAAATGTGTTCCTTGCCTGTATGATTTTAAAACAGATATGTATTGAGCACCCACTCTATACAGGGCCCAGTGCTAAGTGATGTATATATGGTGGTGAATGAAACAATTTGAATATGTATTACACTTGTGACCAGGAAAAAGTTATGTAGAACAGGAAAACAGTTATTGATAGAAAAGGAAATTTTAATTTGCATCCTCTCTAATGAAAATATATGAAATGTAAAAAAACTTGCCTCTGGTTATCTTTCCTGGATCACTGGCTTTTGAGTCTATCATAATAAGTGGCCCGTTAATGTTTGTCTGCTAGTGCATATTCCTATTTGTATCCACTCTCAGTTGTCAGGCCCAGTTTGCTTTCCAGAGAGCTTGAAGCTGCATAAAATTGCATGTGGGGCACTCTTCCTACTTGCAAAAGCCATTCATCTGTTAAGAGATGTCCCCATCTCAATACAGAATTAAAGTGGATAGGAAAAATATTAAAATTTTTTTGTAAATGGATGAGCCATGTATATATAGATTCTTCTGGCTCCCATCGTTAAGTTGGGAAACAAAACTGCAGCAAAATATATGTTGCTTGTAAGTCCTGAAGTGGGCAGGCAGGTTCTGGTGGGCAAAGTGGGTCAGGGAGAAGCACTGCTATAGTGGAAAAGACACAAACTTGGCATTGATTAGGTTATTAAGTTGTTTGCTTTTTCTAGGGCTTAGTTTCTTTGTAAAGTAAGGATAATACCTCTACCAAAGCAGTCATTGTAGTTTAAATGTAAGTCTTTGAGGAATAGCATTTGCCTCTGGTGGTTGGCAGTAAGCATGTGCTGACCGACCACTGGAGAGGCTGACTTGCCTCGCCGGGGGCTCACAAAGGTCCATCTCACTGGTTGCCTTAGGCCCTCAGAAGGCTCAGGGTTTTTGGGTGGCAGGCACCCCTGTGGAGGAGCAGTGCTGACTTACACACAGAGCGTGGTGGTAGAGCATGGGTGGGTGTCCTGTGGTTGAAGCTTCTGCCACTTCAACCATACAGACCTGGGGTAAGTATGCCACTTAACCTTTCAGTTGTCATAGTCCTGCTTTGCTCTTGGAAGTGTTATTGGAATGTCAGTGCAGGTGATAGCATTTAGCCTCTCTCGGTCTAGAACAGGAGTCGGCAAACTTTTGAGACAGAAGAGCCAATCCTGTCCCTCACAACAATTTAAAAATTATTCGAGAGCCATAAAACAAATAAAATCACCATTATGTGAAAAATATCCTTTAAAATTTTTATAAATGAAACTATGATAATTTTATTTTCACTTTCAATTTTACTTCAGAGCCACATGTATGTATCCAAAGAGCCGCGTGGGGCTCATAAGCCGCTGTTTGCCAACCCCTGGTCTAGAACATCCTGGCTGATTAATATCAAGGCTACGGTAACTGTTGGAGATTTCTGAGAATGGCTGAGTCCAGGCTTTGATGCTTTTTTTTCTAGGAGAGCTTCATGTTTGTTGTGACCTTGAAACTACAGGCAGCTCTTACATAGGGGCTTTGGGAGTTCTCTTCTTCAGATTGAAAAGTTGAATGCCTAGTATCTTTCAATGCACTTATTTAATCCTACGGATTTTGCTTGCCTATACTCTGGCTAAAACTAAGATGTTAGATTCCTAAACATTAGTTCTTGGTAGCTTCACTTAGCTATTACCTTCCCATCCTAACAACAACCAAACATTACTGAGTTTTAAACATACCAGGCAATACAGAGTAAATCAAAGCTGATTAGAGCAGGGTACCTGCCCTCAAAGAGCTCAGTCTCACCAAACAGTTACTGTAATACAGTATGATAAGTACTCTGATACATAACACAATGATTATAGAGAAGGCTATGATCAATTTTGCTTGGTAGGATAAAAATGGGTAGCTAAGGGCAGGCTTCCTAGAGGAGGTGACATTTGAGCTTTGCCTTGAAGGATGAACAACCAACCTGTAGGCAAGTGAAAATTGCCCTCGTGCTAGGTTTCACATAAATACCTTAAATTGCAGAACACGTGTGAAGACAGAGCCAAATTAATTTGGTCCCATTTTTAATCAGTAAGAGACCTGGCAAAGATCATCTTTAAAAAAAAACCCCAAAACATTAGCAAAAGAATCCACTACACTGTACAAAACTTGAAGAATGGGCAGAGGAGGGGCCATAGTCCTGCTCCTGTCATGTTGGTGTTCTGGCTTGTTAAGGCTGTTTCCTCCTCTCGCTCCCATAGGAAGGGACCTATTTTACTGTTGCAAATGCTCTACCCGGCACAAGAAGTCTACTTTAAAAGTCACCTGCGGCTCCTCTCCATGTGTGATGATGGCTGAAGCCGCAGAGTAAGTCTGGAGCAGTTCACTTGATCAGACTCTTTTTGTCCTGGTTTTGCTTTCAGGCATAGTCGAGTGCAATGGAGGAGTGGCCGAAGAGCATGAGGTGGAGGTCATCCTCGCACACGAGTCTGCTGCTGATCAAGAAGTGCCAAGGGATGCCGTCTTGCCCGAGCAGTCCCCAGGAGAATTTGACTTTAACGAGTTCTTTAACCTTGATAAGGTGCCGTGCTTGGCTTCGGTGAGTGTAGCAGCCCATTTATAAACATGGATGGAGCGACTATATGCTTATATTTGTCCTGAGTCTTAAGATACCTCTTTTTAAAGTATTATTTTGCTAGATGCTTTGGGGTTGTTTTGGATTTTATTCTTAATTTTTAAGAGTAAACTCTGACTTGAATTTATGAATTCAAATAACTCATTTGAATTTTTGTTGGCTTTGTTTTGAGAGGCTTAGTGGGAATGACTAAGTGAGAATTTTGTACAAGTGAACTGTTTTTCCAGGCTGGTAGCATTGGACTAAGAATTCTTCTGATGTTTAAGAACATTGTCTGCTTTAACTTTTAAGTAGTTGTGTTTGTTGTAAAGATTTACTGTGGAGGCAGATTTTTATAACTGGTGATTGGTGTCACGTTGATCTGCATTCCTTGGGTAAGGCTGGCTGGTTAGGTGGTGTCTTTGTGATGTGATGGTTCTGCAAACCTTTAGTGCAGAAGAATTTGGGTTACTGTCAGTGTTGCAGTTGAACTGTTGAGGTCTAGTCTTTCTTGACTCTTACAGTAGAAACAGTAAGTTATCCCAGACCTTCACTTGCTACCTGCCCTTGCTCCTATCCCCTTCAGCCATTCAGGGACTAGTATAGCCTCATCAAACCTGTGGAGAAAACATTTAACTGGCCTACATACACAGAAATGAGGTTTTCCGTGGTTGCTGAACGAGTGCATAGAACTTTGATAAAATAGAATTTAAAAATCATTTGACCAAAAGAATCTGTACGTTCCTGATGAATGTCCCATTTATAACACCAAATACAGCAAGTTAGTTTGACCAGTCCTTTAGAGTTGGTGGTTCATGGAATTGAACTTGAATGACTCTACTGCTTAACTATAACTGCTCCTTGTTTGATGAGCGCATGAGCAGACAACACTGGCCTATCTCTTTTGTCATTGGCCTGCCCCACCCTCAACCCCCAAAAGATGGCCACCCAGAAAAGGTGAGCAGACACAGCATAGCACTGATAGGTACAGGGCCACAGATGAGCTCTAGGGCAGTACTTCTTAAATTCTCTTGGGTGAGGGGACCAGGTTTTATTTCCAATCCACTGAGGACCAGTACTTGAGTATGAAGTATCCGTGTCACAGCAGTGACAAATTGCTGTAGAAGTTTCTAAGCATTTACTCTTACTCTGAACTTCTATGTAGACCAACCAGCATGGTCCAAGCCCACTGTCTGTAGCACTGTTCAGGAGCGGGAGGAGTGTGGCTCCAAATCAACTGGCAACTGCTTGGTTTTGTTTCATAAGTTGTAGGAGCGATTTTACCTATAAGTTTCTTAGCCACATACCTCACTAGCTAGCCAACAGTTCTTTGGCTCACTGTGAGCAGACGGGTCACATCCAGATGTGAACTTAATTTACTTTGTAAAACTGAGTGGCCCTCTCAAATTCTTAGCTTTTGAGGGGACAGTAAATTTTTATTTTTATACCAACAGTGTTTAGTGACTTCTTTTTTTTTTTTTTTTTTT